AGAAATATTTTCCAAAGCCGCACCCAGACGCAGCTTCCCAAGACGCCCGGAAGCCTCCCCTTCCCCTAAACCCTAAATTAAACCCTTCTAAGCCTGTTAACCCTACACCGTTTTTTTGCTAAACCCTAAACCCTTTTAAAACCCTCAACCCTTCTGAGCCCAGGCTGGACTGTGACTTGCTGGGAGGGGGCGCACGCGAGCTCGGCACTGCGACACTCATTATCCAAAGCGACCCCACATGATAGATGGCAAGACGAGAACCCTAACCCCTAAACCCTAAACCCCTAAACCCCTAAACCCTAACCCCTAAACCCCTAAACCCCTAAAACCCAAACCCCTAAAACCCTAAACCCTAAACCCTAAACCCCTAAACCCCTAAAAACTAAACCCCTAACCCCTAAAACCCTAAACCCTAACCCCCTAAACCGCGAACCAGCGCCGGGCGGCAAGGCCAGCGCGGCGGCCCAAGGGCCCAGTGCAGCCCCAAAGGAGACGATGGACCTCTCGGGAGACGGGGTGGATGTAGGGTTCATGATGTTTAGGGTTTGGGTTTAGGGTTTTAGGGTTTAGGGTTTAGGGTTTAGGGTTTAGGGTTTAGGGTTTAGGGTTTAGGGTTTAGGGTTTAGGGTTTAGGGTTTAGGGCTTAGGGCTTAGGGCTTAGGGCTTAGGGCTTAGGGTTCATGATGTTTAGGGTGTCGTCTGGAGGCCACCCAGCGCATTCAAATTCCCTAAGCCCCGAAACCCATGTTTCAAAATCAAAACCAATTAGGGTTTGAGGTTTAGGGTTTAGGGTCACTTTCAGCCTCCCTCCTGGGATTTGGGGATGGGCGTTCCAGGTTTTGAATATTTCGGGCTGCTGTTGACCGGTAACCTAGGAATACAAAGGGTGCCTTTTGGTTTAACGGGGCTTTGAAGGGAACCGAAGCCCCAAAGAAAGCCCTAAACCCTAAACCCTAAACCCCAAACCCTAAACCCCAAACCCTAAACCCTAAACCCTAAACCCTAAACCCCAAACCCGAAACCCTAGACAAGGGGAGGGAGGGCCTACTCTGAGTCCTACTTGGAGGTTCAGGGACTTATTAACCCAATCAGAACTGTACTTAGAACCCAACTTGTTACCATATTAGGGCACTTAAGGACCTTACAAGTGGGTTATAAGTACAGTTATAATTGGTTGATAAGCACCATGAACCTCCAAGTACGTAGCCCTAAGCCCCAAGCCCTAAACCCTAAACCCTAAGGGTGGTGTCACTCCAGGCCTTTGCAGGCCATGAGCCCGGAACTCGTTGAGGATGCTTCCGGCCCTCTCCCAGTCGCCCTGGATCGTAGAGTTTAAGGCTTCGGGTATAAGGTTTTAGGAGATGCTTTGGGTTTAGGGTTTAGGGTTTAGGGTTTAGGGTTTAGGGTTTAGGGTTTAGGGTTTAGGGTTTAGGGTTTGGGGTTTGGGGTTTGGGGTTTGGGGTTTGGGGTTTGGGGTTTGGGGTTTGGGGTTTGGGGTTTGGGGTTTAGGGGTTTAGGGGTTCAGGGGTTCAGGGGTTTAGGGTTTAGGGTGACAGGTTTGGGGTTGGGGGTTTAAGTGCTTGGGGAAGGAGGGCATGTGGGGTGTCGACATTCACACCATGTGAATGTGGGTTTCGGGTCTGGAGGTCTAGGCGTAAAGCTTCACCCTAAACCCTAAACCCTAAACCATAAACCCTAAAACCTAAACCCTAAACCTCACGGTCGAAGGCCGTGTGCAACCTGTGGCACGGCGGCGCTTACCATGCATTCCGAAACTCCGCAGGCCCTCCCCAAAATGGGGGTTTACGAAGATAGGGGAACCCTAAACCCCCAAAGAGCAGTATTCCCTTATAATAAGGACCTTAGCAAGGTACCGCTACTTGCGGAAACCCCCAAATGTGTTCACAAAGACCCTGGACCAAACAAAACAGCCGCCCGAAATGTTCTTAACCTGAATGCCCAAGAAGCCCGTCTGGAAACTAGAATCCCCTGAAGTGAGCACCAAAAAAAAAAGGAAAGCAGGAGTTCTACTGAATCTCCTCCCAAGGGTTCGGCGGAGCGCTTTGAGGTTTAGGGTTTAGGGTTTAGGGTTTAGGGTTTAGGGTTTAGGGTTTAGGGTTTAGGGTTTACGGTTTAGGAGGGTTTAGGGGCGTGAGGTTGTGGGGGCCCTTTCAGCCCAAAACCCTGAAAGCTTTAGGCTTTTTGCTCTCACTCTCTCTCGCGGCAGGGTTTCTGCATATAGCTGACTTCAAGCAGTCATGCAAGGTCTCAGCGTTTAGGGTTTAGGGCTTAGGGTTTGGGATTTAGGGTTTACGGTGTAGGGTTTAGGGTTAAGGGTTTGGGGTTAGGGTTGGGGGCTGAAGGGTACCCCAAAGCCAAAGCCGGGTAACACTTCGCTGGTTTCAGCCTTCGACCGTGCACGAATCAGTGTTCTCCAAACATGGCGGGGGGGGGGGGGGGGGAAACGAAAAGGGCAAGTGTGAGTGCAGGGTTTAGGGTCTGGGGTTTAGGGTTCTGGGGTTGCTTTTTCTCGGCGCCTGCTCCTCATCCGCAACAGCGCTCATAGCCGAATTGAAGCTGATCCTTGCGTTCCGAGGAGAAATGTCCCAATACTGTCAATACTCTAGCAAGCCAACCCTAAACCCTAAACCCTAAACTTAGCCTAAACCCTAAACCCTAAACCCTAAACCCTAAACCCTAAACCCTAAACCCTATTTAAACCGGTTATCAGCTTGGCACTTCCATTGTCACCTTTGCTTTCTGCCCAGACGGTGCTTAGACTCTCAGACTCAGACTCATAACCTCCAAAACAATGCTGGGGGGACCGTGCAGGCCCAAACCCAAAACATGCCCAAAACAGCCCCAAAACCCCAAAACCCTGAACCCTAAATAGCAGTCCTTTAACGGGCCACTGGAAAATACCCCCCTAAACCCTTTTTGCATCCGGACCATGGTGTCCTGGCGGAAAAGTCTCAGAAACCCTTAAACCCTAAACCCTGAAACCCTGAACCCTAAACCCTAAACCCTGATGACTGCTTGCATAAACCCTGAAACCCTTAAACCCTAAACCCTGAAACCCTAAACCCTAAACCCGGACGTCGCTGCTTTCCAAGGCCGCGCGGCGCGTCGCAACGCAGGGCGCCGCTCGCGGCGGTGCTCAACGCTGCCAACGCCGGGCCCCAGGCCGCAGCCCTGATGGAGTTTTGGGCTTTTTCGGGGGTTTCGGGGGGTTAGGGTTTAGGGTTTGATGCTTTTCTAGGGTTTAGGACTTAGGGTTTTCGACTCTCACACTAGGATTTAGGGTTTGGGGTTGCGGGTTTAGGCTTTTGTTGCTGCCCCCTAGCTGCCCACTCTCGGACGTTTTGTCGGGCACTGACTACTGTAGGGAAAACGTCTCTCTTGTAGGGTTCAGGGCTTGACTGAACCTCAAAGCCTAATCCCAAACCCTAACCCCTAAACCCTAAACCCTAAAACCCAAAATCCTCAACCCTAAACTGAACGCTAAACCCTAAACTTGGGGGGTTTGGGGGTCTCAAGGGTTGTGGCCTTAACACTTGTGCACAGCAGGCAGGGCTTCGAAGGAAGTCGGCTGAAGAATCTAGGAAGCCACTTTCGGGGTTTAGGTTTTGGGCTTTTGGTTTTTGGTTTTAGGGTAAGGGTCTAGGGTTGAGGGTTGAGGGTTGAGGGTTTAGGGTTTAGGGTCTAGGGTTGAGGGTTGAGGGTTGAGGGTTGAGGGTTGAGGGTTTAGGGTTTAGGGTTTAGGGGCTTCTGCTTAGGTTGACTCGAGTGAGCTGCGCCTTGACATTCTGTCGCTCACAACTGGACATTAGGCGAGGCTTTACTGTCAGTGGATTAGGGTTTGGGGTTTAGGGTTTAGGATTTGGGGACTCCAACCCCTCGCTGCACATGAACGGGGCCTCTCGCAGGCACTGAGCAGCGAATTGAGGGACACGGTGCTGGCCTGCGGCAGCACCCGAAGCGCTTCCGACGAGGGGCTCAGGGTTTAGGGCGTTTAGGGTTTTGGGTTTGAGGAGGTTTTTCCGTTCCCTATGTGTATACCAAAAGTATAAAGCTTGGGCCAAGTGCATGGGCAACTCTAAGCATTGCCCCCACAATCGTCCTGTAGCCAGTACCTCCCAGCCCGAAACTGCCACTGGGAGAAAAGGGGTGGGAGGAAGTCAGGTCAGTGTCTCGATGTCATATGCTATATGGCCACTTCTCAAAGTTATGGTCCCTTGTGGCTACCGGCCTCATTGTCACCCCACAAAGGACCCCAATTTCGAGAATCCCCCCATCCCCCATTGCTCACCTATGTGACTTCTGTGACGATTGCTCAGGTTGCTGGGAGAACGATGCATGTAAGTTGGAGATGCGAACGGAGCTTGTACAGATAGCTCCCGCAGCCCACGTGGCTGGGGTGCAGTCGTCACACACACACACATAGACACGTGTATTTGTCTAAACATATACACCCGAACCCAGAAGCCGGTGTTGCAACTTCATCCGACAAGGATATGCACGCGAACAATCCTTTCCATCTGCCCAGCCTGAGACCCGGAAACCCTTGAACTCCAAGCCCTGAAAACCTTCAACGCTCGAACCCCTAGCTGGGGTCTCTGAGCACCAAGCCCTCAGCTCCGCCTAAATCCTTTTTCGCCTAAATCCTGAACCCCTTTTAACCCCGGGCCGAGGAGGAAAAAAAGCAATGAAAAGTTTGGACCCCCGGACACCTCAACCCTCACAAATCCTAAGCCCGATGAAGCCCTACAAGCCCCCTAACAAGAAGAGATGAAGCAACACCCTGGAAACCCCAAACCCTTAATTACGAACCCTGGACCCCAAACCCGAAAAACGCCGAACCCCAAACCCTAAACTGTAAACTTGTCCCTGAAGACCCCAAACCCTGAACCCTCAACCCTTAACACCCTAAACCCTAAACCCTCCACCCTTAACCCTAAACTCTCAACCCTCAACCCTACACCCTAAACTCCCGGACCAGCCTCGGCTCCCTCCGCGACAAGCGCGGCCGCGGCCGCGCCCGCGGCGGCCCAGGCGTTCGCGGAGCCGCAGGCACCTTGCATTGAGTTTTTGGGCGTTTTTTTTGCCGCCCGCCCCAGCTAGTTCAGTTTAGGGGTTTAGGGTTTAGGGGTTTAGGGTTTAGGGCTGAGGGCTGAGGGCTGAGGGTTTAGGGTTTAGGGTTTAGGGTGTAGGGTTTAGGGTTTAGGGTGTAGGGTTTAGGGTTTAGGGTTTAGGGTTTAGGGTTTAGGGTCTAGGGTTTAGGGTTTAGGGTTTAGGTTTGCTGCTGCCTCGGGTCCAGGGTTTAGGGTTTAGGGTTCGGGGGCTTCAGGGCTTTAGGGCTCGAGCGTGGTTTCGCGGCTTTTTGGTGTTTCTTGGGGGGGATTGCTTGAGCTCTTGCCTTGCGCTCAGCGCCACCTGCAGTCCATGAGGGGCCGACGCCCCTGCCCTAAACCCTATAAACCCTGCAAAGCCTATAAACCCTACAAACCCTGTAAACCCCATAAACCTGTACACCCTATAAACCCTGTAAACCTATAAACCCTATAAACCCCACAAACCCTGTAAACCCTACAAACCCTGTAAACCCTACAAACCCTGTAAACCCTACAAACCCTGCAAACCCCATAAACCCTACAAACCCTGCAAACTCTATAAACCCTGTAAACCCCAGGAACCCTACAAACCCTGTAAACCCCAAACATCCTATAGAACCCCACGACTTTCGAAGTCTTGGTAGTCCAGTAACCACATTATGATAAGGGCACCCTTCTTGGGGCTGGTTACTTTACAAGGGAACCTTGGAGCAAAAAAAGGGAAAAGGGCACCACTGGGCCACTAAGTCCTATGAGCCGCACGAGTTTCGAAGCTTGGGGTTTGGTGGACTCCTGCTTCAGAAGGCTTCCAGCTTGTACCGTTCAGGGACCCATCTCGCCAGCAGCTGCTTTGGCTGTTTAGGGTTTAGGGTTTAGGGTTTAGGGTTTAGGGCGTAGGGTTTAGGGCTTAGGGTTTAGGGCTTAGGGCTTAGGGTTTAGGGCTTAGGGCTTCGGGCTTAGGGCTTTGGGTTTATAGTTCTAAGGGGATTGTCTCATCATAGCCTGCAAGCATGCCCCACAGTTTCTGTAAGGTTCGTGAGGTGTACCGCACACTGTCAATCCACTCATTGAGGCCGGCGGCTCATCAGCGAGTTGTAGGAGATGGTGTCTGGCCTGTATTCAGGGGGTATAAGGAATGACCCCTAGAAAGGCACCTTAATCTTATTCCCCTAGATAGCCCCTACATCTACCTCAAAACAGCGCCTATGTACCTAAGTAGCCCCTAAATACGCCCCAAATAACCCCGAAGGTCCCTTGCAAGGGTCCCTCCTTGAGTCCCTTGAGCTGAATCTTGAGGCTTGAACCGGCCTTCCACAGGCATCCACCCAGTCTTGGGGTGGTTACATGGTCCTCTTCAACGGGGGGGCCGCTTTTATGTACCCCCTTTATGTACCCGAACAAAATCAAGGGCCCTTACTTCAGAACCCCTTTTAAAGAAGGTGGGGCCCAAAGGCCTTACTACGGGTGGACAGCAGCCTTCTGGGATGTGCCCCCTTATACTAACAGCTCCTTAATAGGGATTAGAATAGGGCCCAAAAGAGGCACTATAATCCCTTTTAAAGGCTGTTAGTGTATAAGGGGGAGCATCCCAAGCTATGAGTACAGTTATCTGCCCCTTGCAGTGCCCTAAAAATATCGTCGAGAAGTGCAGCTACAATTGGGCTTACACAATGAACCTCCAAGCAACCACCCAACTCAGATCATCGAATCCCAAACACCCTAAATCCTAAACCCTAAACCCTAAACGAGGAAGCCTATGCGGAGTTGCAGTTTGTATTCAGGAAAGAGTTGGTGTTGAAGGAATAAAGGGTCAACGTACCCGTTACTATTTGGCTCAAGAACTTGGGCCATGTGCCCTGAAGAAAAGAAAAACTGGTTGGTTTGTGGTTGGTTGTTCCAGGGGAATCAAGGGTTTCTGTTGGGGTTGACTGTTTTGTTCCCTGTCCTCCTTCGGTTGCCCCCCGTAGGTTATGAGCCCAAATTAGGCTTCCTGCGGTATAGGTAAAGATTTTTCGTTTGTTTAACGCCATGGACATGACGCGGCGTCGCTCAGAGCCTGGACTGTCACCCACGGCCAATGAAGCCGAAGAAAATCGTGGTGATGGGGGTGAAGAACGACAGCAAGTGGTACAAGCGCTGACAGATGGTAGGGAAGTTGCAATGATACAACCAACGTCTCAGGTGGAAAATGAAGTGGTTCCGGTTCCAGCAGCGAATCCTTTCTGGAGCGAGCGGGCTCAAGAAGAAATAAGACTGAGGCAATCAAGGCCGGCAAGTCTTCCTGCAAGCGGAGGGGATAGGAGTGGTGGAACTACGAGCAGGCCACCGTCGCTACATGATCTTGTGGGTCGGGAACCTGCACCAGCTGAGAGGCCATCGTCAGGCTTAATGGGCCAGATGGAACGAGGTAACATTGGTGAAACACAAGCAGAGGAAGAGCTTATTCCTGATCTGAGTGGTGAAGAACAAGGTGAAGATATGGCAGTGGTTAAGCGTGCACTTAAAGAGTTGCTGGTGCAGACAAAGGAGCTGGGGAACAGGTTGCATCGAGTGGAGGAGAAAAGCTATACCTCTGCGGCATCTGGGTCAGCTTCGCGAGCACGGAGCACTGGGGTGGTGGACGCAAATGCTGCATATCCCTTGGGAATGACTCCAGAGAAACAGTATCCGCCAGGACAAGTTTTCTACACTGATGGTATGGGTGGCTTTTGGACTGTGTTGCCTGATGGGACATGGCTGCCTATTGAGGGCTACGACCTGCCAAAGGGTTGTGATCTTCAATCCTTGCCTGAGTCCAGGAAGGGGGATGCTCAAGTGGAGGATGAAAAAGAAGTGCCAATGATGCATGTAGCTGAAGGGAAGAAACCCTCCAGATTGCCTCCATTGAATTACCCCCTGGGAGGTTCTGCAAGTGGTGGATATGCAAGTGGACCACCTGGTTTAACACATGCGCCGATTACTTCCTTGCCGACAGGTGTTGATGGTTCTGCCGCACCTATGGGGAATCAGCCCGGTTTTGTTTCAGCTCGGGAAACTTTGACGCAAGAGAACGCAGCAGGATCGGGTGGATATACAATGGTGGATGATGTTCCGTATCGATGGAAAATGATCGCTGGGAAGTTGGAATTACAAAAGGTTCCGCTCACAGCTTTTACGCCTGGTATGGGACATGGACTGCCACAAAGGCCCGGTGGTAGGGTTAGTTTACCTCCTGGAGCAGTGGTGCCACGTGGTATGCCAAACATTGGTGATAGTTCTGGAACTGAACGTCCGGAGGCTCTTGGGAAGCATGTGATGAGTCTTCCTACTTTGGCAGACTACACACCAAGCAATCCGACGGCACTAGGTGATTGGATCGCAATGATCGAGCCAATGTTGTCTTCGCTGACAGATACAGGAAGAGTGTGGTGGCAATGCGTCTATTCAAAGGCGTATCAGGCGTATGCCAAATGGTTGAGCGTTTCTCCGCTGGAAAGGTTGGGCATCAAGGCTGAGCTGGAAGGGCTCAAGGTGGTTCGAACTGTGCACGTTTTGTTAGAGCAGAGAGCGGTGTCTTTGCTGCTGCAGGCGATTCCGGAGAGATTGAAGACCGAGATCGTTTCCACTCGAATGTTGGGGCCAGTGATGATATTTTACAAATTGCTGACGGTCTACCAACCAGGTGGAGCAAATGAGCGCAGCACAATGTTGAACTTCTTGGTGCAACCATCTTCGGCAACCTCGATCTCAGAGGCCATTAAGGGAGTGCGTCAATGGGCGCAATGGCGTTCCCGATTAAGGGAGTTGAGAGCGGCCGAGCCGGACGCTACCTTGCTTATCAAGGGATTGGATGCTTTATCATCTGCGTTGCTGGCAAAACACCCTACGGTTCATTTCAGAGTGGCATCCTTTCGGGAAAAATTGGGGGTAGACTACTCGCCGACCTCTGAAACTGCGACACAACTAGCTGAAATGTTACAGGCAGAGTTTGAACTGCTATTGCATAGCGCTGGTGATCAAGAGGTGAAGCAGGACTCGGACGCCAAGAAGGGGGCAAGGTTAAACAAGGCCCAAAAAGGGACCGGTGACGAGACAGAGGAGGGTGACAAAGGCAAAGGGAAAGGAAAAAGGTACAGCAGTGATGGTGAACGCCCATTCTGTTGGATATATGGAAAGACAGAAGCAGGCTGCAAGTTCGGATCACGCTGCAAATTTCGCCATGACAAGGACTCCCTGGAGCGTGGAAGATGTTTCGAATGTGGGGCCGTTGGCCATCTACAGCCGCAGTGTCCATACAAAGATGGTGCAAGTTCCAATGTGGACTCAAATCCTGAGAGGAATAGATCTAAAGGAAATTCTCCCAAAGGGGGAAAGGGCGGCAAAGGTGCGAAATGGGGAAATGCCAAAAAGGCAGAAGTGGCTGAAGGGGGAGATGAGACGGCTAATGCGGGATTGGAGAAAGGTTCTGCAAGTCCCTCATCACCATCAACACCCAATCAGGTCCTTGCTGAAGCGTTAGAGGTGCTGAAATCTATGAAACTGTCATCAGCGCAGTCAGCATCAAGCGGGGATCCCAGTGTTCGAATGTTATGTTGGGTTGTTTCAGCAGGAAAGGAGAGTGGCGTTGGTGGATACAGCTGCTACGCATCTTGCGCGGACGCTTTTTCCATGGGAATGTTTACCCGACACTACTGTTACGGTGCAAAGCGCACTTGGTGGTGTGAAAATGAGGATTACAGAGAAAGGGACATTGATTAGGGAAGACAATGGGCCTCTGATTATCCCTCTCTGGTTGATTTTGGAGTTTGGGGCGAACCTCACCGTGATCAATGGGATGTGTCACGTGGGTGCAAAATCTTCGCTGGACCAGCTCTTGTGGTTTGAACATGGCTGTTTGGTTATGGATTACAAAACAGCTGAAAAGATGGTTTTGCATGCTGAAAGGCAGCGTGCGTCTTGGTCCCATTCTCAATGGAGGAATGGAAGGGCGGACTGTGGAGTCGGTTCGTCTGATGCCACGTTGTTGCCGAAGCAGGGAGAAGGCCGAGGAGGATGCGTCTTACATGTGGCCAGGGTTTCTGACACCAATGAGTGTTCGGGAATGGGCATGTTGGACTCGGGAGCATCACATCCGCTCAGATCACTTCGTCCTGGTGAACAGCTTCCGCAGCAAAAGGCGTTGGTGTCTTTAGCTGTTGGATCTCGGGAGATGTGTATTACCCCAGGTGGGACCCTGGTAACTCCTGAAATGGTAGATCCGCTAGTGCCAATTGGCAAAGCGAGCGCTTTGGTTGGTCTCAGAGTTCAGTGGCGCGGTGGCAAGTGCACAGCCTCACATGCTGTTCTGGGGGAACTTCGCGTTCGAGATCTGAATGGGTGCCCTTGTTTGGAAAAGGAGGTGGCGCTTCAGATCATTGATGAAATGGATTGGTGTTCACCAAAGCAAGCATTGAAGGTGGCACGTATGGTTCAAGGGTGTCCGAATACGGACAATGAGGTGGCCGTAAAAGCGTCGTTGCAAAGCGCAGCGCGGACAGCGTCAGCGAACGAGGAGGAGTTCGTCCAGGCATGTTGGCGATTTCTTCGGTGGTATTATGGGGATATACCAGAAAATATGCTGATGGATATTGCGGCGTTGCCTTTCAACCGTCATAAAAGGAGACGGCTGGCACGAGCAAAAAGGGTGGTTGTACACCTATTTTCGGGAAACAAAAATGGCATTTTCCTAGTCGGGATGTGGAGGTACTGGAGCTGGATTTGAAGAAAGGCGGTGACCTACATAATTCGAGCGTCTGGAAGTATCTTATGCACCTGGCGGCTGAAGGAAAGGTGGTTGCTGTGGTGGGAGGACCTCCATGCAGGACAGTGTCAAGGTTGAGAGGTGAAGACGGTGGTCCACCTGTATTACGCCGGCGCTGTGGGCCTGAACGGTTGGGATTAAAGAGTCTTCCTTGGCCACATCAAGAATTAGCACAAAAGGATGGTGTTTTACTTCTGAAGATGCTTTTCCTATATGACGTGGCGGTGCATTCAAGGTGTGGAACTGCTGGTGTCATCAATGGAGGTTCTGTCTTCTTTGGCATGGAAAGTCCTGGGGACCCTGAGCTCATAGGGAAAGGTTTTTCTCAGAACAA